AACCACGATTTTCATGTCTGTCTCTCCTTATTCCCAGCCGGTGTAAGGTATGAACGCGGCTGCGCATGCTTGTTTCTGCTATTCTGGCATATCGTCATTGATTGATGTGCCAGTGAAAGGACAAGCGGACTAGCCGTTCAGATCCAAATCCTAACGCGCTCCGTTGCGAACGAGTGAGCCATTGGTGTATGCAAAGTGCAGTCTCATGAGTGCACCTTGTCATCGGTACTGCCTGGTGCTGGCCACAAATCTTGCCTTGGTTTGAATTCCTCCTCTGAATCATTTGGCTCCAAGAATGCGTTCAGTGAGAATGTGCCCTTTTGAGAGTAATTATTTCAGAACCATTAGAGAGGCTTTGGTAGACTTTTTGTTTTTGTATTGTTGTGTTGTGTTACCCAGTGATCTTAACAGAGAAACTTTCGTTCGGTTTGTTCCCGTCTAATCCTTGCTGGGATTTGTTTTTGACCAGTTCCCAAAGAATGGGCTTCCGGATGACGTCATTCGCACGTTAAGCCTCGTCATTAGCACGTGTTGTGGATTTCATGTTATTTCTTCAGAGAATTGGGTGATCTTCATCACCGGAGGCTTGGCCTTCGCTCTTCAGCAGCTGCCTTGTCACCATGATGTCTATATTAGAGTACAGAGAACTTTTTGGAACATTTGTGGATCGATACAAACTTATAGACGAAGATCGATTAGTGCAGCGGATTGGGAACACACGGACTATCAAAGTGAGTGGTTTTTGTAGAATTCAAAGTAAATTGCTGCTCAAAACGATTCACATCCATGTTGATTTCTTTATTTTTCTGTTGTCATGTTGCCTTAAGGGCCTTATGAGGCGGGAGTGGTGTAGTGGCAAGTGGCACGTTTACCACGCGCACGGTCCGGGGATAAAATGCTGGATCGGCTCCCGCTCAGGCCAACCAAGCCTTCTACCCTCCGGGGACGGTGAATTGGTACCAGATTCGTCTGGGAGGATAAAACACTGACTTCTTCATAGGCTGACATCTTAATTCATTGTGGGGCCACATCGCATTCAATAAGTCACTACGATTCTGATTGGCAGAGTGCGTGCCACATCCCAAAAGGGGGGGGGGGTGCTTAGGCGAACACTTTCTACTTCATCTGGGCCTCATATAAGAAAAAGTGCCTGTTGCCGTAAACAGAAGGCGAGATGAAGGGAAGGGTTCATCCTGATTCCGTATTTCGTTATCAACGAGAAAAAGGGTGCCTTTCAGTAAAACAGTTCTGCGCTAGTCGAGGAAATACATTCACGGTATCCGGTTCCTGTGATGTGATTACAGCCGAACACCTGTCTGAGACTGTGCGGGAAAAACTTGGGCATGGCACAGAATGCCGCCTAAGGAGCGCTGGACTACATGAGGCGAGTGGGTTATTTACAGTACCTGGAAAATACTAGAGACCAACCGAAAAAGCGCATTTTTATCGATCCGTCTCTTCATTTCTTTGACTTGGGTACGGAAATATGGCCCTTATAGACAGAATATGCCCGACGAAACCATTCCTAAGGCAGTAAACTGAACCCTAATCAGACATCAGAGAACGAAAAGGCTGGTTTCAGCGTACAAATCAATGTTCATGTGATGAAACTACCGAGCCGAAGTTTCTATCAGGGCACGTCCCGCCGTTGGAAAAGACTTTGCTGAATACGATTCCCCCTCAATATTTTCCTCCTCTGATACGACTCCTCGTCCTATCTAAGAAGAAGGTGGGATAGCGTATATAAAGCACTTGAAGCAGAAAAAAATTGATAGAAGTCGGTAACCGAAGAATATTTTCCTCATAAGCAACTACTGCTCACCATCCCTCCAGTACCAACTACGACTCCCTCGCTAAGTTCACCAAGGTAAGAGTATCCTGGTCTCCATCTCAATCACATCTTCGAAGAAGTCGGGAGCATAGCGAACCCCCCCCACCCTCCCCCTCCCCCTTTTCCCCCCCTCAGAAGCCTTGCGAAGTCCATGCGGCAAAAAATGAAGTCTTCAGTCAAACAAACGGCTGCTTAACCACATACTTGGTTTGGTTGTCTTTAGTGCGTACCCTTTAGCAGGTTCAGTGTTAAATAATTACGCCAGAGCGTTCAAAAATGTGGTTTTGTGGCCTATTCAAAATTTTTTCGGCTTTGCGAGCGTTCTCCGAGTGAGTTTAGGTTAACGAGTACGTTCACATTTTGAGATTTGATAACGCGAGCGACCTGGTCCTTTGATTAGGTGACTGGGAGCGCTGCACCGCTAATCGCTGTAACGGCGTTTGGGACTGAATATATTGGACTTTTCGCTCAAGGATTTTATGTCAAAATTACAGGACCGCGCGATATCTCCACTATGATATAGATTAGTCACGAAATGAGCGTCACAGGAAGCAGTCGAAAGTGAGCCAGATAAAATTTATCCGAGAGTGAAGACCGTGCACGTAAATGCAAAGAAACAGTGAAGAGTGTGAGGATTCGCCATCCAAAATGCCATTGCTGCAGCCCACCGATGATCGGTGGACCGCACCCGGTCGTTCACTCGTTTGGACCACCGGATCTTACAAGAACCGATTGAATCCGTGCACTAGCGAACCGCACGCTCTCGATTCCCCTTTCTTTAATTTCGCGCATACTCCGAGGGTGCGATGAGCCAGAGCCGATCGATTTCCATCTAATCCTCGGTGCTTATTCTCCAAACCGAAAGATATACTTTCCTTGTCCCGCGTTTCCCGATTCAACCATTCTCCTGATTTGCGAATGTTGTACATTCGTAAAGTATGAAACGCTTTTAGTGCTCGATTGCAGTGCAAATTTTTCCCAAAACTTCGGCCTCTGAGTACCCTTTCCCTCCTCACTCTTCGGAAACCAGACGTTATTTTGGAAGAAATTTTGCCAGAAGGGATACTTGCTCAAATTTCATCTCGGGGAGAGGGTAGTTTGACTTCCTTAACGTAAATATTCAATCCGCTCAGAGCTAGAACGCGTGGTGCCAACGAAAGGCGTCAGTGACTGTGCCGCAGTTTAGCGCTAGCGCTCGTGGCGTACATACTAGCCGTTTTTGCCTCTTTTTGGACTTCATATGTGCTAAACGTTTTTCGGCTGATTGTTGCGTTGAAAACCAGAAATGTCCCAGAACCATTCTCCTCACTATTTATCATTAGTCAATTAGAACTTTGTCTGAATCGAAGGAAGTTATAAATTTCCGCTGAACACACACCAAAACAACAAACTTACGGAATTTATGTAATAGGATACTTATGCGGGCAACGACTTTTAGTTTCCTCTATCGCTGTATTGATTGTGTACGTGCGTTCAGAATGCTTGAGATAATTTTTTGACAGTGTTTACTTCGTGACGTCGGTTTTCGCTGTCCCTTTTCCAAAAACTGATATCTAAGTTCCTTTTGACGACAGTTCTTCACGGGTTACCGAGTGAGGACTGAATTCCACATTCGGCTGCAAGGAAACCGTTGAAAATCGCTCGTTCCTTGTTGCTATCTATCACAGATGGCGAAAATGTGCGGGAATCAGTATCGTTAAAGGTTTAGGTTTTATTACCCTTTACTGCCCCAACCATCTAGAATTGAGCCAGTTTTTGACCGACTTTTTCTCCGTGGACAGATTTGGCTCAAATGTTGTCTCCTGGGGTAGTTTGACCCCTTGAATACGAATATCACATTCGCTCAGCCCGGAAACTTCCTGGCGCCCGCGCCACAGACGCCGGCAATTTGGGATATTTTGGCGCCAGGGTCTATAGCTCGGGCGCCATGAGGTTCCGTGCCGAGCGGATGTGATATTCATGTTCAGAAGGTCAGATGGGCAAACTGACCTTCTAGGAACAAATTTTAGCCAATTTCGCCTACGCAGAAAAAAGCTGGTCAGAAACTGGCCTGTTTTTGGAAGATTGGGACAGTAAAGGGTAAATAGTGCTGAGGTTTATTGTGAGACGGGATGACCTCCTGTAGCTCCCAATCATATGACCTAATTATACGCAAGTGTCATGGACATCAGAAACTTCGAAAAGATACACCGATAGGTTCTGGTGGCAACTCAGAGTAGGGGTAGGGTAGGCCTGGCGCAGAATGGTAATCGCACCTTTCAAGTTTCAAGTCGCTTCTTACCATCATGTCGATATTGCTTGGCAGCGGAAACAAATGAAAAGAGAACTCTGAAATTCAGCTCTCAGCTTGTCGATAGATGCTTAATCCACCAGTCTGAACTGAATATTGATGGTGTTAAAAACTGCGTACTCTCGTTCTTTATATGAAGAACATTCATGATTATATTACAGCTAAGTAAATTGCGCTAGCGATGTCTGCTTCTCATTTCGACCTGTCCTAGTTTATCAAAAAGGAACTGTAATCTGCTCCAGACCGCGCTCATTGTAATAAGTTCTATCTTTTGATCTAACTTTAGTTGAGCCTTGCTACATTTTGTCGCAAATCATTATTGCGGGGTTGCACGCATCATTTAGTTCGGGCGGTTGAAGTGGGGATAATTAGAGGTGAACGTCATTGTGATAAAAACGAGACTCCGGCGTATCTGGATTTTGCACCCTCGGGATCTGCTAAGAGGATTGATGTGTGAGTGGCTATGCCGTTTCTTCGTTTTTTGTAAAGCCGCCAAAGTGATTGGATGGGCAAGAAGGGCATTTAGCTTGACGTTAGTCAGATTTTCTTTAGCATACCCTATCTTTCTCCAAAGAGGTTCGGGGGGGGGGATTCCGTGATTAGAGGAATTATAAAGCGCCAGTTACTATTACCAATCGTTTTTTTGCAGTGATTGATAAGTTAATCAGTGTTTGCGGAGCTTTGTTTTTTCTTCCCTCCTTCTCCCAAGATATTTGGTCCTGACTTTTTTTGACATAATCCCTCTCGAGCTGGCACGTTATTCAAAATAGATACCAAGGTATCAGTAAAACGGCTTTTCAGATTTGGCCTTTATTCCGATCGTTGGTGGAAACTGAATAAGTAATTCCAGGCGCACGAAACATGTGTGAACACATTACGATGGAATCACGGCGGAACGTAGGTTTAGCGTGTGTGAACCGTAAATTGTGACTTTTGCCTGAAGCTTGCCTCTTCTCTTTTGTTGTGTGACTGCTTTAAAAAGCAAAAGACTCGCTGTTTTAATCATTTCGCAATTTCCTTGTATTAAGCCTTCTGGCGTCTGGTTCGGATGATCGGCGAGTGAAAGTTTGGAATTTGGCTGGAGAATGCCTTACCGTTGTCGAGACAGGTCATCAGGCGAATGTGTTTGCTGTTGAATTTCTGCCTGCAGGTATTTTTGGTGTTTTTTTTTCTTGAGTTTCTTCATCAATAATGGTACTCGAATATCATGACCTTTCCCCCCAGTTGTTTACATCATCAGGTGTGGTTTCTATAAATATAGAAATGCGAGGTTGAATGGTCGAAGGTGTGAGTGGGTCGCGACACCTTTACGGACATCGATTCGATCGCATATTACAGGCGGCGCTGGGGCAGATCAGAAATGCTTGCTGATTTTTTAGGGAGCATTCCATGCGCATTTTATCTACTTTCCTTTCTCTAACGGGCTATAAACGGAAAGTGCTCAATACGTAGTTTGGTGTATTAAAAGCATACTCTGCGCTCAAAAATGGTCGTTATGCGGCTCAAATACTAATGGCAAGACAGCACATATCAAAAGTGAAGAAAAGGATAAAAAGGATAAAGTCTTCGCCGTTGATCAATCCCTTTGTGGGATGCGGCACGCATTCTACTTCCATTCAGAATCGTAGTGGCTTATTGAATGCGATGTGGCCTATACAATGACTTGCGGTGGCCAGCCGATGTACAAGTCAGTGTTTTATCCTCCCAGACGAATCTGGTACCAATTTACCGTCCCCGGAGGGTAGAAGGCTTGGTTGGCCTGGGCGGGAGTCGACCCGGGATTTGAACCCGGCGCCGCGCGAGTGGTAAGCGCGCCACTTGTCACTACACCACTTTCCGCCTCAAAAGTGAAGAAAGGAGCAGAAAAACCATTCTGAAATCCCTCATATTGAACCCCATGCCGAACCGCGTTTGTAAGTGCACAAAACGAGGGGGGGGGGTGCGGTCGGATGAGTCCTCTCTTGTTGGTATCAGCTCTTTCCTGGTAGCGGATACACCACACCCCCAGGAAGCTTTTATAGAAATGAAAGTTGGGCGTGGCCGAGGCCAGGGGGAAGAGATGATTGCGGCCTTGTCGTGATCGGGACGCACTTCCTCACGTATTTTCAAGCTGTGAAAGGAGTACATCCTCCATGCTTGCGGGCAGGACTATCATATCCAAAGAAGGTGCCGAACATGAAATGAACGCGAGGAGTCTAAGGGCGAAATGCTTTGCAGTAACTAATTGAACCCAGACCGTGCGCTTTACGAGCAACGACTCTTACATCACCTCGGCTACATGCCCGTTCACTTTCAGTGATGTGGTCACATCAGGTCTGGATCGAGCTCCGGCTGAGACGGAGCGTTTTGTCAACAACTCTGAGACTTGATGGTATACATACCGCGGAATAACGCCAAAATCAGGAACTTGTTAAAACATAGACAGTAACGTTACCAAAAACATATTAGCTGTTCCCAAAAGTTTCTGGACACTTTCAGACTTTTTTCCGGAATATAAGTTATACAGTGCGATCTTTTTGATACAGCTATATGTATGTCACCTTCATTGGCAACTTGTTGCCAATCACTACGCAATGTGTGGTTGCCCTGCTTCCAGAAGCCTCTTAGTTCTGTGGCCAGAAAGGCAGCTGGGTCATTTTCGAGGTACTATCAAAAATCGTATTTTTTTACCAAGAAGATGGCCGCTGTGGGAATCGTGTAGTTTGTTCTGTATTGGATGGTGTTCGCGGAAAGAGCTAAGTCAGGGCTACACGAAGACTGTGGTGGAATTCCCCAGCTAAGCTTCGGGATCTCGAGCAGTGTCGTTTTCCAAATGTTTGACCCCGAGGTGTGGTGGAGTAGGCAAACATTGCTCGGTTTTGGGACCAAATGGTAGAGATTTTCCACCCCACTTTGCAGTTGATTACAATAGGGCACCCTGGTTACCATAGCGTTGGAAGGAGGGAATTCCGTTTCGAGAGCGGAGAAGGGTACCCCACCACATACACAGCCTCACCGCCCTACTGGATTGATAGGATTGCGCGATCGGTTCTGCCCTTTCTGGGGATCTAGCCGCTGGCGCTCCCAGGAGTGATTCACTAGAGGCACCCACTCCATATCCAGTTACAGTGCTGTTCAACCAGCCTGTACAGCGGAAGAGGGAGAGAAGTTGTAGACAGTACCCACATGTGCTCCCCTTGGAGTACTGGTCAACTCATGAGAAAAATTTTGATCGAACTTCATAACTTTTCTAAGGGAGCGAGGCCTTCTCTCATTTGTGCTTTGGGACCAGTCAAGTGTAAGGAATAGATAGCAAGTTGATTTGTACGTATTGGTTTTAATCAAGGAACACAGTAGGTCCAAATCCAAGGCAGGTGGCCTCCTTGGACGAAGTTTTTCACCCGGATAGAAGTCACTAAAGCAGAAGCAATTGAGCCATTCCAAAGCCGTACTGTGGAAGCTAACATCAAGATCTAAATAAGGGAAATGCCGCTTATGGCTCCAACCACGTTGTGGCTTGGTAGAGATTCATATAGCGAAGTGTGTCGAAAATGATGAATTTCAATTACCGTTTTTCATATGAGAACAGCGACTGCGAGGGACGGTGAAGAAGCTGTGGAATGCTTACCTCACACACTTCCCATAGACCACATAACTGGATCTCGAAATGGCTGCGGAAAAATCTGATACGAGATTCAAAAAGTGTCCCAGAACTTTTGGGACAACCTGCTACACCAATATTTAGCTAGGGCTTTCCTGTAGCATGTGAAAATCACTCCTGAACCACTTATGTCATGTAAGCCCAACCACTGGGATCATTTTTCGTTTGGATGGGGTTTGAGTTGAGGTTATTGTACTTTATTTTTGTAATAGCTGCTTATGTAGCACTTGAGTTATACTACTTCAGGTAATGATCGGATTCTTCTTTCCGCCGCTGGGGATTGCCAAGTCAAAATGCACGATATTGACGGATTGAGAGGTAATACCCTTGAACTGATATAACTTAGATTGTTGGCGTCTCATAGAATGAAACTGTTCTCTCATAGATGAGCCTTTCACGTGGTCTACAGGCGGAAGAGTGAAGCGTTTGGCTACGGCTCAAGATGAGCCTTACTTGTTTTGGTCTGCTTCTGAGGACGGCTATGTCAGGTTCGTTTCGTAATTCACCTTTTGACGCTTTCTAGAAATTCCATACGTTTCAGAGAGTACGATGCTAGGACCAACGCGGATGACAAGTTGATTAATGCAGAAGAAAAACATGTAAAATCGTTTGCAGTCTGTCAAGGACGTACTGAATTTGTAAGTATTTTTCACTTCCCTTGTGTTCTCATCGGAACATCCCCCGTCGGTTGTAGGTGGCTGTCGCTACGGATGAAGCTGCTGTCCCTATTTACGACAGAAGAAAACCGGATAAGCCCCTTCTGACGTGTGTAAATGGTAAGTGATATATAATCGCATTCTGAACTCTATGACATGCAAAATCACTTTAAGCTGACGATAAATGCCACAGCAATTTTACTTACACCACTCATGTTTCGTTTGATGAAATGGGAACAGAACTACTTGTGAGCTTCTTCCACTTCAACACTCTTTGGTCACTAAGTAAATACCATATTTCGTTTCGGCACTTCATGGGTTTCAGGTGAACCAAGGGTGCGGTCCCATATATTTGTTCAAGTTGAAGTGTGATGATCGGCCAACAGTTTTGCAGAAAATAAAATCAATAATTGAAAGCGAGGAAGAAGGTTAGTTTTGTCCTTTTCTTATTTCTCAAGGTTCTCTTAGAGCCATTTATATCGCTAGCGTAACTTTCTAAATACACAAGGGTAAGAAGGTGATGGGAATAAAGAGTTCGATGGGAATCCTTTAAGGTCGAGATTCTGTTCGGATTTTTTTTTTGTCATAATGCTCTTCAATAACGCACTTTGCGCTCTGAAGGCTATCACCGGAATGCTAAGTTGTGGCAAAAGTCAGACCAGGCGGACTTAAACCCGGACCTCATGCATTCCTGGCGAGTGCGCTATCCGTTACGTCACGGGAACCGCCTCTTACCCTGTCAATTTTGACGGCTTTTTGCTGTAGCTCCACAGCTCTCTGTCTCACCGTCAAAATGGCCGGCCGCTCGGTCATATCGCTAGATTTTCGGATGTTGTTTACGACATTACGCCGCTGAGGCGTGCCGCGGTTCAAGTCCCACTTGGGGTCAAAGCTCTTGCCATAACTCAGCATTGTTATGGTATTTGTACGGGCAGTTTTCTCCTTAGATGTTTTGCTTGTCTTTTCCTCACTTTTCTTTTTTATTTCATTTACCTCATGTTGGTATAATTAAGTACATACCAATGGCAAGCACACTCCAAGTTTACCCATGGCAAGAGAACCAAGCTTAAAGGATATTTCGGATCGAAAGAAGTTCCTCTGAGAGTTCGATCTGTTTAGAACTCGTACTCTGTTTAGAGCTCGTTTGAATCTTTTTGGCTTTCTGCATTGTCACCGTTGACATATTTTACTGATTAACAACTTTTTTTTCTAGTGGTAGAGTTCCTAATCTACCTCGCTCGAAAATCATTTTATTTTGTTGATGGGTGACATACAACACTGCGGGTGATCACAGCTCATCTGTTGACCAGAACTGTGTCTTGCTGCTAATGTCTTGACGCATTGTCTCGTCACAAGTTAATGTGTTCTAAAAGCGAAAAAGAAAGAAAGTAAGAGCAACAAGAAAGAAGAAAGGAGACGCAGCTATCGACAGATATCCTGAAACCACTCCGTATCTGAAGGCCACCCGGTTCGCAATTGCGCACTCACTAGTGGAACCTAGGGGAAAACTATATACAATCTAGGGTCCGTTTGTCTTGTGCTTTACGAGGTTGTTAGGTGGAACATTCATTAACTTCGGTCTAAACTAATTCCACCTAACAGCCTCGTAGGGAACGAAACAAAGGAAAAAAACTTACACTAAGATGCAAGTATGCAATAGAAGTTGCGAAAGAACGTATACAGTCTAGTTCGCTGCGGGACGAAAAGGCGGCGTGTCTGTGTGTCTGGCGCGTTACGGAATCGACGCGGTGCCAAATCCGCTCTCCGCCACTTGTTGAAGCGAGCAAGCGACATGACTGCATGATCTGTTCGTATCGCTCGTTTTCTACGAGTCGTTGCCGCATCCTGCTTCAACATCTGGCAGAGAAAGGTTTGGCGCCGTGGCACACTCATACTGCCTGACACGCCCCTTCATCCGCAGCGAACTAGGATATAGTTTTTTATAAAGAGAAAATAAACTGGCGCAGCTGCTTCCTAATGACAGCCAACTGAAGGACGATGAAGTTAAGTAGTACTAGGGATGGGTAGAATTTTCGAGAATGCCGTCACGCGCGCAAATCTGCAAACGACTGGCTGGGTCCAGCCTAGTGTATAAGAGAGGGCAAGGGGGTACGGTAGTCAGGTACGTAGTTGCGAGGCCGGCGACGACTGCATATACGCATGCCGACTTTCGTTTCTTATGAATGCGTCTCTCCCTTTCTTCCTTTTGGGCTCCCACAGTGTGCTCGTAAACACGTAAGGAGACGCCCATTTTTCCCCTCAGATATGGAATGTAGGTGCTACCGAATACTGGAGTTGTTGTAGAGGGTTTGTCGGCTGTATGCAGTGCTGACAGTGAGACGGCCATGCTAAGGAAAATTGAACTTTCAGGCTATCGAGATCTACAGTCGAGCTCTTAGTCTGTCACCCGGTAACTATGATCGAAGTATACTTTTGGCAAATCGTGGCATGGGTTATCTTTGTCGTAGGTGGGAAGGCGATTCCTATGCCTGTGTTCGCGACTGTGTGGAGGTGAATTTTTGTACACTTGTGGTTAGCCTTTCTTTATGGTTATACTGCCATTTCGAATACCTCAAGTGAACAACTTTTTAAGGCACTGCTTCTTTATCCTGGAAATTCCAAAGCATTATGGCGGCTCACGCGATCTTTGATGTTGTTGGAGCAATGGGAGTTAGCAAAAGAATGTATCGAAGTTTTCAAAAAACGTTTCCCCAATGATCGGTCTATAGTTCGACTTTCTGATCAGGTCAGTTTTTTGTCCCTTTTTAGAAGTGCTGCATTTCTGCCCTCTATAGGAGTCTTATCTAGGCTCATTGGGACGCTTAAGAGCTGAGAATTTGTAAATGCCTTGATGAATATACAGCTGCGAATGTACTGTTATAAGGTTATGCATCTGGGAATAAAAGTGAAAGATGAAAGAGGAGATATCTCGAAAGCGTGGGACTTTGAGGGGATCTCACAGGGTAAGACGAGGCCGCGACAACTCTGGCCGTGTGCGCTCTCTAAGCTTAAGCTTTTGGTGGAAGTGACGACCATCATACTGGTAGGCAGACAAGCAGAAAAAGCACATCCCTTAGTCGCTGCCGCATGCCCCTCCAGCCCAACGTTGTAATCCCAAAGTGCTAGCATGAATACTCTGTGTCTTTATTTTGCTCCCATAGCATTACAACCTTTTGTTTTGAGAACTTAAGAGATATGTTGCAGATAAGTGTCGCAATGGACTCAGCTCATGCTCATCAGTCGCATGTTATGTGCGACGACAGCAATTTTGTTGATTATAGTGGTAAGTGGTTTCTTTTACAAGGCAATGTGTATACTCACCTCCAGTCGGTTCTTTTCATGTGTGAGGTGAATGGGCCCGGCAGACGGGCAAGAGCATCGTCAATTGCCGCTTCGTCGCGCGCGTAATGGGCGCGACGTTCGCTTAATTTGCAGTACCCTTTCGATTGTAGCATCGCATTTCGCCCGTGACGCCCGCGGCGAATTGCGATTTTCTAGCCACATACCCGAATGGGTCCGCAGCTGCAGTAACGAAACCACTCTCCGCTCAAAGTTCGCGGAAACAGGGTGTGATACTCGGCTGTCATTGCCATACTCCACTTGCGCTTTGCTCTATGTGCAGCACTTGCGTCGATACCAAGATCTCGCAGCGAAACACGCGCTCAGCGGTGGGAAACAACAAGAGCGAGAGGGCGCACAAAAGTAGACTTGGCTACGGCTAGGCGAATGGTTGGCGGGAGAGGGGCGGGAATGTAGAGAGCGGGGTTCCCCTATCTTCAGCCTCGTTCTCGTACATTTGACCGCAGAAAGTTGCATGCTATTGCTTATGAGTTTAAAATGGAAGGCCATGATTCTGTTTTCAGCATTCCTATTTTTTTAAACTATTCAACTTGAGAATTTCCAGCATATAGTACTAATTTTTACTTGTAGAGAGGTTTTGTGGGCAGACGAATACACACACCGATATCAAAGAGGCTAACTTCTTCGGATCAAGAAATCAATATGTTGGTAAGCCCCTTTGAAAATTTTTTTCGGAGGTTAGTCACTTGAAAAAGAGATCATATCAATAATTTCCTTGTAAATCAGTTGCCGGATCTGACTGCGGGTCTTTACTGTTATGGGAGCGTAGCTCCGGTGTACTTGTTGCTGCATGGAATGCTGATCAATCGATTCTGAATATCGTACAACCCCATCCCACCCAATTCATGCTAGCCACGTCTGGCATCGAGGAAGTGATCCGATTATGGCAACCCATGGAGGAGGGCAAAGAGGTAAGCCAGATTGGTTCTCTTTTTTGTCTAATCCTTTAATATTGAGTATTATTCACTGAGTAAATCATACTATCGATAGAGAAAGAATTATAAATTCAGCAAGTGTGGTGCTTCAATTTTGCTTGACAGGAAAATTGGGGCTTCCACTGTCGGGCTTCGTTGTCTCTTGCAATTAGCCAATCGTTGGCATGAAATGGGGATGTAATCAACTTCCTAGAGGAGGGTACGCTGTGACAACTCTCACTTTCCGCATACCCCATTTTATTCGACCTTATAAGTTCTGCTTGTTGTACCGTAATAATAGGGTTTCTGCTTGTTGTACCGTAATAATAGGGTTTCTGCTTGTTGTACCGTAATAATAGGGTATCGGCGGGGAGAATCACAGTGCGATGATGCGATCCTCAGGTAGTCTGGCGTTACACCCGCGGCATTCGCACTAGGACCTGACTGGCTTGATGAGTCACATACAACGGTTACCCGAGATGTAGAACTGCTTTCTTCTCTACTGTGGCCAGAAGCTGTCCCACTTTCGCTGCACGACAGTGAGTGACGGCGCTCAGTCCATCGTTAGCCTGAACGCTATTGCGTAGATTTTTTATCGTATGCGAAAGTAGGTTTTTATGATGAAAAGTTTTTATTTTGCCCGAGTTTCGGCAGAATAGCCTTCTTCAAAGACCTGCAAGCATCTTCGAGACTTTTATGGAACGTAGGTTATTTAAAAGCACGTTCTACAGTAACTTAGGCTGTAACGTCTCATATATTCAGATCTTCAGGTGGGCGATTGTGGAGCTGAGGTGAGCTTCACTTATAAAGTGGAAATTGCAAGAAATTCTGCTGATTTAAATAGACTTAGAGCTATTTTGCCGAAACGTCGGACTGTATAAAAACTTTCCACCATAGAAGACTTGTTTTGTCATGGAAACGGCCGTTTGAATCCAGATGCAGAGGTCCCAAGAAAAGCAGACATGGTGAATGCTACGCTTAGATGACTTGATTGTTACTTCTGGTTCGAGAGATTGTTTTACGTTGCTGTGTGAAACATTTATCCAATTCGCGAACTGCTTTGCTTTTATGTGGATCCGTGTCTGCCGTCTCTCCCGTCTTCCTGTTCTCTCATCCTATGCCTTTGGTTTCTCAGCTGCATAGTAGTGTCTCCCTTTTTCGAATGCTCCTCCAACGTTTAGCCTCTCATAAAGCATTTTTAGAGAGCTTTTTCCGTATTTTTCTACATTGTAGGTAGCTTAGCATCTACGAATTCACATCTGCTACCACAAGCGCCCACGAACTGATGAACGTGTCTTCAACATAGAAGTGTCACAGCACACACGGCACCTGGGGTAACTAGCTAATTGTGCTCATCGTGTACCTCTGGACCCTTGCCCGTTTATTATTTTTGCTGGTTTCACCGGGTCTTGCATTTATGTGGTACAGAATACTGCAGAATGGAAGCAGTACAGAGGAATCTGAGTGCAACATTCTTACAGTGCGAAAGACGAATAGCAGAACCATGGTCTCACTTCGGCCAGCGTAATCGACGTACTGCGGACGAGCGGGATATATTTCTACGATTTATTGGATCTCGAATGGTACGTTAATAGTGGAAGAACTTTTTGACTGACTACGCTATTCAATGTCCACTTTGTCATCGCTATGTCATTCAGTAATGGACATCATTGCAGATGGGAAGAAGCCCTGAACGTCCGGAATGCGTGACAAGCTAGTCAATTTCGGGTAGTTTTAATTTCGACAGATTCTGTTTTTAAGGCAATGTTTTTACGTGTCACTCAGCTGTGAGAGCAATTTTCACATTAACTATTTGGTTGCATATTGTAATGAGAAACAAAGCAGATCAGTTCAAAGGCAGCGGGTGCGATCGCTAGGGCGGTCGGTTCTCGCCAAAGTCATTGGTGGAAGGGCTGAATGGGGTGTGGGTAAAGCGCTCCCGCGACCATTCCACAAATGACGCTGGCAAAAAACGCCCGCCTCCAGCAATCGTGCCCGCTGCCTTTCAAAGAGAGATCTGAAATCTCACTACCATATATAGACCATATAGCACATAAAAAATAGTCTATTTTCGTTGCGAAACCAGTAGTAGCACTACTACGTGTTTTAATTCTGGTCTTCAGATGGATTTTAACATCATATAGATATATATGTGAGCTTTTTCATGTACACTTGTTTTGTACATAAATCTGAATATTTTATCTCGTCGTTTGAGATGATTACATATAAATACAATTGAATAGAAATCACAGATAAATTGTAAACAGCAAGAAAGGCTAGAAACCCGAAGCATAATACGGTCCACTCGCAGACACACTCTTCCCGCTTTTTTTCTTAAAAAAAAGTGGAGCACACATAGATAGCACAGACATGAGGGGCGAGTCTCCCGACATTAAGTAAACTAAAAGACTAGTTGAACAATTAAGTTTCTAGCACGAAGTAGCACCTGGAAATGAACAATAACACCGTTTCTCTGCAGTAGATGAGTGAAAAAACCTTTGGAATAGTGGACCGAAACCTGAGAAATTCAATTATTCACACGCTTCTGTCGGATATTATGCATTTATGAGTGATATGTACATCTAGCAGCTTCTTACGTGAGCGAAAAAAAAACTCATGGTAATCGCGTGGCTGCAGCTAAAACGCTAAACTTGGATCCGGGACAGGTGATGGCCTCGCGTTTGTCGCCTTAGTCATCGTGGGCTATTCCTGTCACTGGATAAACTCGCTGTATGAGTACCTAAGAGAAGAATATCCCCATGGGCGAAGTGGTCGGGTCCACAGCTGTGGAAGCGTACCATCTCACCTGCTTCGAACTGTGGCAATGAAGGTAGGAAGGAGTTGAATGAAGGACGGACGTTCTTTCGTTCCCAGGCACATGCGCGCAACAGCAACGTGTCAGCAACAACCACCAACGTGCGGCATTCAGGTCGTGAGCATGTCACCAAGCTGCGTCGCGGTATCTGAGACGATCAAGATCTCGCAGTGAACTGCTGGACTCCTGCCCAAGCACGCAAACAAAGAGCCACAGAGAGCCGTGACAATAACTGCTCAGTCCTAAGGTGAAAGGCATAGACAAGTAGTGCGCCTGGCCATGGTCAGCTGTGTGGCTGACCGTTTAGCGTATTGCGTGTCTGTGGCGCACTTCGATTGTAGGCGGTAGTTCGAAAAAAACACCCGGGTGCTGTAACCATCCAACTTCACTGCCACGCCACAGACGCACTTTTAAGTGCCGAAAATGATACTCTTCCATCGCTGGCGACGCGCCCACCTTGCCCCCGATGCTCAAAGTGAGGTATTTAAGGAACGATTTTCGAGCAATTGAAACGAAATATACTGGGACTTCACTGTTTCCTGTGGCGCGATTGTATTTCCAAGAGTACGCTCGCCAAAGAAGACGCACTGCTGCAACGGGAGGCTTTTCATCAAGATGGGAATAAGGGAAAACTCTTCAAAATTTCGCCAGCTAACCTAACGACCAACTAACTAATGCTTGCTAGCTCCTCTGAGGTAAATTCGATAACCTGAGGGAAAATAAATCGATGTTAGTTATCCCTTCATGCAGCATGCTTAAGTTGTTGAAATTCGTTCCGCTAGCACAAAGTAGCAATCAAGAAACGTCGACTTTCTAGGATCTTCCGAGCGACTCACCACTTAAGTGATTAACTAAAAACAAATTATTAGTAATGCGCCGTCATTAGTTACGGTAGTAATATCTCTTTATAGGATTCTCTAAACCGCAGTATCTTCAAAAATCACTCCTGACAAATGCCGTTTGAGTTCAGTACCTTCAGGCAAGCGATTAGCTTACGACTAAAGAGCGACATTTGCCGGCGGGCCGAGTGATAAGTGCGAACGCTGCACTTCCACCATTTCTCCTACAAATGGGTTACGACTAGGCGTGTGAAAAAATTATGGAATTTCTCAGATTTTCCCCACTAGATATATTGATACCTCTTCAACAACTTAATTAAACTCCTAAGTAAATACCTATGATGAACAGGATTACCTGAGAAAAGTATCGAGGCAACGTTGTGATGTACTAGAATCGATACCTAACATTTAAAAGCTCTTCGAATCGCTGAACGTTCATCGTTTTCCAACAAGTCCACCAAAATATGTGTGTACAGCGGTAACAGTTCAACTTTCAGTATCTTATAGTTTAGCGAGTTGAGACCGTCACTTTTCCAGTCTTTCTTCGTATGAGCCATCAGCTTGTACCGACAACTAAACGAATACCAGTCATAGCTATCACTCACTATTTCTAGGTTCAAAGACTCGAACTTATGATAAATGTACTCCTTCCCATCATAAATGTGCAGCTCTTGCGTCGGGTCCCGGCGAAACCCGCTGTAAAAAGTAGAGAACAATCAAAAGTGAGAGAGCGCAGAGAAGCAGCGCGTTTGTTCGTTGTTTGGCGTGTAGCTGCGGCAGAGAAGGCGAAGTATGGAGGCGGCACCAGAGCATTACTACCTTCCAGCCCCGTTCCCGTGCGACTTTGATTGAAGAAAGCGGTTAGCTACCGCACTCGCGGACCCATTCCCTCATACATGGCAGGGAACAGGATAACGGAGGTCAGTGATCGTTCTCTTCAATGCCCATTAGAAACAAAGAAACAAATATTGGGGAAAGGAATACACTCAACATACTCAATGAACGGTCCGTCACTGGTAATTGTAAAATCGAAATAAACAAGAAATAGAGGTTTTCCGCTGCGTCTAGTAACTATTGCCGGGCGTTGTCGTGTGCGACACTGCGGTCTAGCCAATAAATGCGCCTTATACACCAGAAAATAGGGTGTATTCAGAGGTGAACAAGCTCCTTTCCTGGGATGAAGTTGTGAAATTCTACTATAGGTTAACCCATTTTGTCTATGCAGTGAATAGTAAGGGCAGCAGCCTTGTTGGCTGCAGATGCTGGGGCGTGCTAAGGGGACCCACGTGGCGCAGCACTGACCCGTTTCTTATCAACTGTTGGCGTTTCCTCGCCTCAGTAAATGGTAGAGGATGGTCTATTGGCGCCGCGCCAAACCCACCCCCCTGACACGCATTCCCAGCGAACAAAACTGTACAAAAGCATTTCATTCCTCGATAGAAAAAGAATTCAATCAATTGACCACGGAAAAAACCTTTTGAAGCCTTTGGGAGGGGCCCGGAACTTCGGCCTTGAAAGTAGGCAAGGATGGCATGCGTGCCAGTTGCAAATAAATACTCACCCTTCCTCTGAGCCAAATATATCAAATAGAATACCTCTCACCTGTTAACAGGATTACTTTTTTCTTCGTGAGCGTGTTTGATCATTTTGTAGCGCGCGATCTCCGCAGGATATCGCGCTATTTTATAGCCAATCGTAGACACTCTAAACGAAAATGCATTCGCAATGCAGTAAAATTCAAACGTTTGGTAGTCTGAGTCGTGCAAATTCGAACCAGCTTCCACTTCCACGAACTTTCCTCAGAGTCTTTCATAGGGTAAGGCTTATTAATTATGTATAACCTAGTGAATACAAACGCCTGGCAACGCTGTGAAATAGCAAGCCCAAACGACAACGCTATCCTCTCGCCTAACTTTTATGATTCCTCCAACGGAAAAACGTATGTGATTCTCTTGTAAGACTAACGGAGCGTCAGATTCGGGCGGATACCATCTGCGACAACAGAGAAAAAACTTTGAATAATTCGCTATTGTGAGGATGAGCATGTGGCATAAACACTCGCGTTTTCTGTCGTCGATCAGGATCTAGTTCAGGTTTGGACAACACTGCGATGAATGCCACATATATTTAATGTCCCAGATGAGAGGGTGCGGCTGCGTACTTCACTAAACATGGCTTACGATGCGTTTTCAGAGGGATATTTTCATTTGACATCAATAATCCTGTCTTGCTCTGGACAAAGGCACTGTTACACAAGAGCACTGAATAATCGGCAGAAGTCAGACCCCAGACGGGACTCGAACTTGCATTTCCCGCTTATCGGGTGGTTGCGTCATTCCTTACATTACCAGGGCCCAATGGGCCTTACCGTCTCAGCTCAATGGCCTTTCGTGCCAATGTCTTCCATCACTCACAGGTCTAACGTGAAAGCACGGCTACAGTTGTCCCAAATCGATGGAATCCCTTCGGAAGCATAGCCGCAGCCATGCCTAAACTAAGTGGACAGCCGTGCCCTCCCCCTTCCCTTCCAATCTCCGAGATATAGGGTGTGTGCATTATAAAGTATAAACTACAGCTTTCAAAAGGAGGGCGATAAGGGACCGTGTCGAAGCAACTTGAAGGTTCAAATTAGCAACCTATCCCGGTCTAACGTACGACTGGCCCGTTTCGCTATTACTGGTATTCCGAGCGAGCAGGGTATGTTACGGCTGTCAAGGTCAAGTGTGTTGTAATTTATGCATGTTAGGAAGAAACTATAATATTCACAATTACATACCTGTCAGCAAGGTCATCGTCTTCTCCACCCCAACCCCAATATCGATTTGAAAACCCATTTATGGAATGCAGTTGCTCAACAGTCATTGCACTTATACCTCCAAATATCGATCTATATGGGAGCCTGAAAGAATAAAACTCTCAGAAAAAAAAACTGCATCGTTAGGAAACTAGCCATGGTAAAATTGAATTCTCACTGATAATTGAATTTGTCTACAGCTACGCTCATATGTCGAGGAATTGTCGGACATGAATACAAGTTTCGGTCGTCTTCAGGGAGAAGATCCACATCGTGAAATATGAAACACTGCCATGGATATAGCTTCATTCCCTCGACAAATCCCACATTCATCAACTGAAATCTGGCAAATGGTGCTGAACAAGGGATAAACGTCCGGATAACAAATCATGAAAAACAGATACCTTTGCCCGATTGAATGTTTGGTTGGGAATTTGCTCGACAACAATGATCGCATAGTCGAGTTGTTGTTTTGCCAGGAATGAATGCAGATTATGGAGCATAATTCGTAGATGAGATTCACGATCACGGTACGGTACGACAATCGCTACCTGAATCTCATCAACTATGAAGATGACAAAAAAAACGTGAGAGCATAGAAATCACGGCAATATTTACCCTATGTCTAGCTCTGCAATCCTTTGGTTGTCCATGGCCACCATTTTCCAGATGCGGATACAGCTTCTCAAGTGCCGAGAACGTCGGTGCGTCCATCCATACTCGTATTGGTCCTACTAGACGTGGTGGCGTCATGGGACATGATTCCAGTGAAATCCGTTGCAATGTCAACGGATAGCTGGTATTCGAGGAGTCCGCTGAAAAAATAAATTTTCAGCAAGCAGAGGCTCTCGCAGATGGAGAGGGCGTGGCTGCGGATTTGAACTGATCATGATGAATATTCGTGGGACATTTTTAATTGACAACTGAGACAACTAGCCTCCTGTCTTCTGCAGGACAAATACCTGTCTACAATAATCCCACCGAAACTGAAGCTGCCGCCACGTTCAAATGTTATGCAGCCACGCTCTCCCTCACTGGGATATGAAGTCTATACTGGGATAAAATTCAAGAGATTTTACATTGCCCAGGGGAACGAAAAAAGGGGCGTTCAGGTGACATGAGAAGATATCTTCCTTAGGTTCCGCGATAACCAATAAGAGAACGTTCCGCGATATCCGATGTGCGGGAACTCGTTACTATTCTGCCTTCCTCACTGGCGAGCTGATTCTCTTTCACATATTAGAGAAAGGGGCGCAGTTCGGCGAGGGGGGGGGGCATTCTGCACTTTCGCTGCTTCACTAGTTCCGGTTTACAAGTCTCGATATGGTGAGAGCTGTGAACTCTCCTGAAGCTGAGCGATCTCTTGAAGTCACAGTAAAATCTGTCGTCGCTTGTAAGCTCACGAAACGGCTCTCTAGATGATTCGACACGTCGATGGGAAGTAGCAAAAGTCTAAAGTACCCTCCCCTCCCTCGCCGAACTGTCCCGGGAGAGGGCGCATTGAAACTGGCACACCTGTTGTGTGTCCGTCCCTTTCTCCAATCATCCCTTTGTCACTAAATGTGCCGTCAAAGGCAGCGGGCACGATTGCTGGAAGGCGGGCAGTGTTGCCAGCGCTGGCAACAACTAGGACCTCGAGAGAGATGGCAACACCCCACTCAGCTCTTCCACCAGTGACGTCGCGATAACGGTCCTTTCCCAGCAGCCGCACCCACTGCCTTTAGAGACGCGCCCATACTTTGTGATTCGCAACAATAGAAGTTACGTAGAATAGGAAAATGCCCCGAAGAGGTAGACTTGAATTGGTCGATTCCGGTCGCTAGAGAAACGAAACGAGGATAGGAGAATGCCCGCTCTTTCAACTCGCGGATACGCGCAGTCGCCGACTCTCCTATACTCTCATCCCGTCGGATCTATGTACACACTTTCCTTTGCCGTGTATTCTCCTATCCTGATAATCGTTAGCTCTTTTCGCAAACTATGAACGCTTCCTAAACAGTTGTCCCTACTACTGATAAGAGGCGATGAGTTGTTCCCTCGAAGGTTCCCTTGAATCATTTTGTGATACTTCAGGTTCTTTGGGTGCGAGTAACGAGGCTAATTTGTTACGGGAACTTCTTTTGCAATCCGTGTTCCGTCCTATCAAAGATGTAATTTGACGCGTACCATGGCACATTGCTCTGACACAAAGGCTGATATATTATATGTCGGTCGCGGTGTTTCCCTTTTCACAAGTGCTATATACGTCCCTCCCGCTTGACCCCAAAACTCTAAATTGAGGGGGGAAAAATGGAATATCGGAAAAAGTGGTAGAAAGTTGGGGAAAGTCAAAGAAAATCGTAGGTGATGTGTAAGTAGGGTCGGGTTTTCCGAAAATTTTCCCCAGCGGCAGGACCTGCCCTGATTGCAAAGAATATTCTCGAATGCCATGTCTATCGGATTACATAAAAACCTTCTTATAACTCATTATGACAGAATAGATAAGCAGTGATGACGCATAATATAAACAAATAGAAGAGATAGATGGCGAAACGTGCGTGCGATTGACCCATATAACACTGGGATAGGAAAAACTATCGCGCATATCATATACACAATGCTTACCTTCATCCGTATCATTTCCATTCAAAATCATGTCTAATTGCGGATGGCGCGTGCCTGTGGTTGCATCATTGAACAAGTGGGACAACGTCGAATGACTTTCTTCATCCAGATGAGTAGCTGTGTTTGCTAGTACAAACTCCAACGGATCATCATCATTATCCACATAGGTACCAATGCGATCAAAATTGCTGTATATCAGCTGACCCTGCAAAAACCAAGTCATATACCTGGATCCGAGGATCAAACATAGAGAAGGGAGATTAAAGATGGTTCCTGCGATAAAGTGTCATGGATATGTAATATGAATTATGAAATAGTAGTTAATAAGTAATTCCCCAATGGAGAGAAGAAGCAAGAATAATCTTCTAATACAGCATAAAATCGCTCCCTGACAGTCACACCGCCCTCTGTGCAACCCCTGGCTCACAAATCGCTTTTTCGCATCTTCCAGCAGTAAGTATCCAAAGCAAAGAAAAGAATACGAAGAAGAACAAAAACAGCGACGGAAAAGTCGTGACAAAAAGAAACTTTGAAAGACTCTGCGTACGAATTCTGGATTACGGTAGCATGCGTCTTCTAGTGCGTCGAGCTTTTGCACCAAGAAAAATTGCATCACTCGTGATTTTTACCTTGCGAGATGGGTTGCAGTTGACTGTAAGTCTCCTAATGAATAAAATGTAATAAAGGAAAGCAGAATTATTTATGGGCACGAGCGCGGTCGGCAAAAAGGGCATGCAATTCCGATTTGCATGCCGCGCACAAAGAAAACTGATCGGCCTGCGCTCAGAGGGGCATGCTAGCAAGTGGCGGTCCAACCGGGCGGGCGTAGAACAGAAGTCCTAAGACGTTTAAGTCCGCTCCTCGCAGTCGCTGTGGAGTGCGAGAGTGGGAAACGCCTCTTAGCTTGGCAACTAGGACTACTTGCGCAAGAGAGACCACGAATTATTTCAGCGCGGAAAGCTGTCTTTGATGCTTCAACAATTCTATACACTAAGGGAAAACATTAACTCATGAACTACCACTCTCGAAAATATCATGGAAAAGAGAAAAAAGGCTGCGTATTAGTGAGATAGCAACAAAAAAGATCATGTGGAGGCAGCAGAAAATCACATAAAGTATTTTCGGAAGAGAGCTGAAGGGAGGATTCCTCTACTTCTCAATAACTGACCAATACGAGTGGGTGAAGATCGGACTCAGGAGGGGGACGGAATTCTGTAAAACTCCGTAAACAGAGCAGCGAAATGTTACCAGTTTCAGTATGTTTTGCGAGACGTGGCTCACTCATCGCGGAGCTCCTTCTCCGTATGCATAGCCAAAATGAGCGCAGTATGCTCACGGGGAACGGGCCTCGACACGTCGTTGGGAAGTAGCAAAAGTGCCAAATGACCCCTCCTGTCGCCGAAATGCGCCATTAAGAGCTCCACCTGCTTGGCTCACAATCGTCTCTTCGGACTTTTTTGCACAAATGCCGTCTTTTACTTTTACTTATCCATTTGTTGGCAAATCACAGCTAAAGAAGTCATAGGGAGAGGAACAGAGGATAATACTCTTCATTTTGGTAGTGGTTCAGAAATGAAAAAACTAAAAAAAAACTAAGACAACACAGAACGAATAATAAGTAGCGTATAAATGGAACCCATTGCTTTTCCCAGTTTTGCAAAATTTCACAGCTAAGACCCAGCACGCACATGAATTAACTAATCCCCCTCCTCTAAGCCCCTACGTACGAGACTGCTCAATTAGTATCTCTCAAGCGAGTTGAAGAAGTTTCTGCGCAGTGCGGGGGCATTTCGCACCTTCGCTGCTTCTCATTGTCGTGTTTATCGCCTCACAAGAGCTGACAAGTAGCTTCTACAAACTCTGACTGGCATCACTTCATGGCTTTATAAAATTACAAATCTCTACTTCATGGTTCTTTGTATGACGTTGGAAAGCAGCGGAAGTGCAAAACGCCACCACCCCCCGAAGAAACCGAACTGTGTGCCTGAAGTTTTTGTGTTTATAAGTAGTAGAAACAGGAGAAAGAATAAAATAGAAAAAGAGGAGCTTAGTGAGTGAGAATACCTGTGAGTCGACGAGTGTACCGCAATAGCAATTGATTTTGTTATCACTCATATACCTTTGTCATCATGCAGTCAGCCCGTCGTCGCGACCACCGTCTGTGCAGAGGCGGGTAGACGGTAGATTGCTACTAGCACATCTGAACAGCAACCTTAGCACTATGGGAGCGTCGGGTAAGAGGAGTTACGACGACAAGATCAATGAGACGACAATTAAACTCCAAAATATCGGTCGCGAGCTAAGCAGCAAAGAGCGCCGATCGCAGTGATTTCGTCACACCGGCGGTCAACGGCGCATCGTGCTAATCGAGTTTCCACGAAAACTCAGAAACCGAGCTCTAACAAACAACACATCAGAACACAATTTAATACCATGAAAAGACGAATCAAGAAGAAAAGACCTGAAGACAGCGGGTTTCTCCCTGGGTTCATAAATGGAGAAGTTGGCTCGGCTGCATAAATATATCAACAAGATTGGGCAATACGCAAAGTAAAGAGGAGATAAAAGAGGGAACAAAACCAGCCAATAAACCCCTAACTTAGTACCTCGCGAACCGCGCTGCGCCTCTAATAAGCGTGAAAGAAAGGGCGTGGACGGACGAGTTTCTCATTGATTGCCGCGGTCGTTTCTCTCATCTGCCTCCCACTCACGCCGCCACTCAAAAAAATAGGGATTAGTAGTAGAACAGTCGCATCAGCGGTAGCAGCTGAAAATGAAAGCTGGGCGTCGCCGTGAGTGGTGGGCGGAGCCATGGCCTCGTGATGAGCGCGGATGCGCGCCTTAGTGCAGCGAATTTTAGGGGCGGGCGAAGCGTAACACCATACTCCATCGCTTGGCCAGGCGGAGGCTAACCTTACTTCAACCAAAACAAATGAATGCAGAACATGCGTTTGAGAAAAAAAAAGCCTAGAGACACAGTCCGTGGTAACAATGAAATACAGTGGCATCATCAAAACAGTACATGGTAATTGGGTTACAAGAAGGAAAGAAGAAAACAAAAGGATTTGTTGAGAACGCCCTAAATAAGACACCTGTTAGCTTCAAGCATGTACAATACACGGTGAAGGAACCGAGTTTGCAAAAGAGAAACAGACCGAAACAGTGAGACAGTAAGCAGACGCACGAGCACAGCACCTCTCATATGGAATTGTGAAATAATAATGCAAGAAACAAGAAGGGTGGATTTGCCCGCTAGGGACGCCTGACGCCCTGCCATAATCGTCATGCGGGGGGGGCTCACTCGCTGCGCGAGTCTGACGCATTCATGCGAGACGTCTGCGTTACTAGCAAGACACAGCCCCCCGCAGAACACTGCGTCGGCAAAAGCAGTTGGCACGACTATATACCCAAGGCGACTGGGATCAATGACTTCCATTCTATTATTATTTCCGCGATGCCTTTGGGCAGGCGCTGCATAGCACTTTCCCCACGGGGGAAAGTGGCCCTCATGAAGAGCCCTATCAAGCCACAACTTTCCGTCCCAGCCCGCCACGCCCGCCCGCCCACAAATGGACGACCGTTCCTGACGCTCGTATTCATTCATTTGCTAAGCAAATTATGAAGCGAAGGGATTGGTATGAAGCGGCCGTGATGCTGCATGCAATCCATGGTACACATATGCAGCCGTATCTTCGGTAGCGGTGATTGGCCTACGGGAAACTCGTCCGAAATCGATTTACAAGTCACTGAGAACGGAGGCTTTTTCTTCGCAGGATTTTGACCGTTTCACTCCGTTCTTTCGCCATTTCCCCACTATACAGCGCCCTACTAGCATTTGGCTAAGTAGGAAACCATCGTGCCAACTGCCTTTAACATTCTGCACAATGGTTAACTAAGCCTAATGACTTCAACAGAGAAATATGCACAACCTTATATGTCTAGAATTGTAGGTGCCAGATGCCTGGGACCACTTCTCCAGCCGGGTTAAGGGTTGCAAGGCTTTTGTCGAATACGGAGATATCTTCTCATTCCATCTTCTGGGCGAGCATCAGGGAGGGAAATGAGGAAGAAAAGAAGGTAGGAGGAAAAAAGGAAGGACGAGGAAAGCTTTGCGAAGGGCATATGCTTTAAGGCCCCGGCAAGCGACCCCGGATCGGGTCATACCTTCTCGCTTGCTATCCTTGTACTTGACATGTTCTCACATGGTTTGAACCTGGGTGGAGGGTTTTAACATGATTTATTGGTAAACAGTGTGTGAACATGTTACCCTCTCACTACACCCCCTCTCCATATAGCTGTGCGCATCAGAACATGGCTATTCTCGCTGGTGAGTGGCCCTCCAGATGCATAGGGAGCCAAATTCATAAATACGTTTTACGTGAGCGAAAATTATCGTTTTTATCAACCTGCCAATATGGCAAAATTATTTTATGGATAGACGAAATGCTCTTTTTGTACTATGGATCATAGACGAAATG